GCTCAGGCAATCTTCTCACCTTGACCTCCCAAAGTGCTGGGATTACAGGCATGAGCCACTGCACCTGGCCTGAAATTTTCTTTGATGGAAAATTTAAAAATATAAATTCAACTTATGCACAAAATATATGAATTTTGAAATTTTCTATATTTTCTTGGTCAGTTTGGTGATTTGTATCTTTCAAGGAATTTACTAAATTTAAATAGTCAAATTTATTGACTTACAAAATTGCAGCTAGATAAAAAGAATAAGTTATAGTGTTCTATAGTTTATATAGGCTGACTATAATTAGCAACAATTTATTGTATATTTTTAAATAACCAGAAGAGTGGATTTTGAATATTTCCAACACATAGACATGATAAGTGTTTGAGGTGATAGCTATGCTAATTATGCTGATTTGATCATTACACATAGTTTATACATGTATCAAAATAAAACATTGTAACTTATAAATATGTAGAATTATCATGTGTCAAAAAATAAATTTATTAGCATAAAGTTACAAATAATAGGCTTTTATTATTCTTTTGAATATCTATTGGAAATGTAGTGATCCCTTTTTCATTGCTGATATTTGTCATTTGTGTCCTCTGCATTTTTTTTTTTTAATGAGTATAGCTAGAAGTTTACAAATATTGATCTTTTCAAAGAAACAGGTTTTCTTTTAGAGAAAGGGCCTTGCTCTGTCGCTTGAGTGCAGTGATCACAGCTCACTGCAGCCTCAAACTCCTGGTTTCAGGTGATCCTTCTGCCTCAGCCTACCAAATAGCTACAGGCACGCACTACCATGTCCAGCTAATTTTTCAAGTTTTTGTAGAGACGTGGGTCTCACTATATTGCCCGGGCTGGATTCGAACTCCTAGGCTCAGGTGATCCTCCCACCACAGCTTCTTTTTTTTTTTAAGTCAGAATCTCACTCTGTCACCCAGGCTGGAGTGCAGTGACATGCTCACAGCTACCCCAGCATCAATCCGCTGGGCTCAAATGATCCTTCCACCTCAGCCTTCCAAGGAGCCGGAACTATAGACGCATACTAGCACACCGAGCTAATTTTTTGATATATTGTAGAGATGAAATTGCACTAAGTTGCCCAGGCTGGTCTCGGACCCCTGGCCTAAGACAATCCTCCTTCCTCGGCCTCCCAAAGTACTGGGATTAGAGGCTTGAGCCACTGCGCCTGGCCACAGCTTCTTAAGTAGGGGTTACAGACCCACACCACTGTGCCCAATAATTTTGTATGTGTGTGGTAAAATATACATAATAAATTTCACCTTTTTAGTCCTTTTTTTTGAGGGTACAATTCACTGACATTAATTACATTCACAATGTCATGCACTTATCATCACCAGACAGAATCTTTAGATTTTTTTCATCTTCCCCAGTTGAAACTCTGAAACCAGAAAACAGTCACTCTGCATTCTCCCTTCCCCATGGCCCTGGAAACTTTCATTCTACTTTCTGTCTCTGTGAATTTGAGGACTAGATTATCTCTATAATTGGAAACATATGTTTCATATAACATTTGTCTTTTTGTGTCTGACTTCTTTTCTACACATTTTGATACTTTGTGTTTTCACTTTAGTTCAAGGTATTTTCTAATTTGTCTCATGACTTCTTTGATAATAGGTTATTAGAATTGTGTTATTTAAAGTATTAGTGTTTGGAGTTCTTTAGGCATCTTTTTGTTATTCATTTCTCTTTTTCTTTTTTCCTTTTTTTTTTTTTTTTTGAGTTGGAGTCTCACTCTGTCGCCCAGACTGGAGTGCAGTGGCCGCTCCCGGCCACCGCA